CCCAGGGCTGATTCATCCTCTGAACACCTGACTCCCTTTCCTAAGATAAATTTATCTTAACCATGATCTTCTCCAGTGAGCCTACCTGGGAAGATGCAGGCCAGCAACTCAGATGGACCTGAATCCCTGACTATGGTCTTCTCTTGGATACCACATCTACCCCAGGGCTGATTCATCCTCTGAACACCTGACTCCCTTTCCTAAGATAAATTTATCTTAACCATGACCTTCTCCAGTGAGCCTACCTGGGAAGATGCAGGCCAGCAACTCAGATGGACCTGAATCCCTGACTATGGTCTTCTCTTGGATGGAACCACATCTAAGGACAAAGCATGAAAGGAAATGTTAACAATATTTCACTGCAAAGAAAAGAAAATATGGCTGTTAAATTAGCAAGATAATATTGTCGGGAAGGCAAAACTTTTTCTCTGTGCTCTCTAAGTTGATGTAAGACAGGCTAATGGGGAAAAAGCATACAACTTGTATTTAATAATGTTTTTACATGCACCTGGGAGCCTTCCTGGGAGGAAAATGAAGATCCAAGAAGCAGGCAGGCCTGTGTTTATTGACTAGGCTGAACAAAGAGCTAGTTGTGAAAAAGTAACTAAAGTTTATGGGGTGATGAAAGGAAGAAAAAGATTATTTATTTATTTATTTAGATTTATTTTATTGCTGAGAGTATTTCAGATGTCCCCCATTTTCCCCTCTTTGCCACCCTCCACCCATCTCCCACCCCACCCGAGGCCTTCACCTGTCTATGGTCTGTGTCCATGGGCTATGACTACTCTGTGCTTCTAAATTCCTTCACCTTTTCACCCATCTCCCCAACACCCCTCCCATCTGGCAACTGGCAAAATGTTCTCTGTATCTATGAGTCTGTTTCTATTCTGCTTGTTCATTTATTTTGATTTTTAGATTTAATTGGTGAATACATTTCCATTTTATTGTTCATATTTTTTTTATCTTTATTTTCTTCTTCTATTTCTTAAAGAAGAGCACTTTAACATTTAATGTAATATTGGTTTGGTGGTGATGCACTCCTTTAGCTCTTTTTCTTGTCTAGGAAGCTCTTCAATTCTAAATGATAGCTTTGCAGGGTAGAATAATCTTGGTTGTAAGTCCTTGCTTTTCATCACTTTGAATATTTCTTGCCACTCCCTTCTGGCCTGCAAAGTTTCTGTTGAGAAATCAGCTGACAGTCGTATGGGTACTCCCTTGTAGGTAACTAACTGTTTTTCTCTTGCTGCTTTTAAGATCTCTCTTTGTCTTTCACCTTTGGCATTTTAATTATGATGTGCTTTGGTGTGGGCTTCTTTGGGGTTATCTTGTTTAGAACTCTCTGCACTTTCTGGACTTGTATGTCTATTTCTTTTACCAGGTAAGGGAAGTTTTCTGTCATATTTTTTCAAATAGGTTTTCAATTTGCTCCCTCTCCTCTCCTTTTGGCACCCCCATAATGCGGATGTTGGTACTCTTGAAGTTGTCCCAAAGGCTCCTTATACTTTCTTCATATTTTTGGATTATTTTTTCTTTTTGCTCTTCTGATTGGATGTTTTTTGCTTCCTTGTATTCTAAGTTCTTGATTTGATTCTTGGTATCCTCTACTCTAATGTTGGTACCCTGTAAATTATTCTTTACTTCAATTAGTGTATCCTTCATTTCTGATTGGTCCTTTTTATGTTGTTGATGTCCTCACTAAGGTCCTTGAAGTTCTCAGTAAGTTTCTTAAAGATCCTTACAACCATTGTTTTGAATTCTGTATCTGGTAGTTTTCTTGCTTCCAGTTCATTTAGTTCTTTTTCTGGAGATTACTCCTGTTCTTTCATTTGTGACATGTTTCTTCGTCTCCACATTTTGGCTGCTTCCCTGTCTTTGTTTCTATGTATTAGGTAGAGCTGCTATGTTTCCTGGAATTGATAGAGTGTCCTGTAGGGCCCAGTGGCTCAGCCTCCCCAGTTTCCTGAGCTGGGCACTCCAGGTGCACCCACATGTGAGCTGTGTGCACTGTCCTACTGTAGTTGAGCCTTGGTTGATGATAGCTTCACTGGGTGGGATTGACCCCCCTCCCCCGGCCCCCCTTGGCCAATTAGTTGTGAGGATCCACTGCAACTACAGTGGAAGAACTGCTGTGCAGAATCTGACCCTATGGAACAGGACTTGCTTCAATGGGGCTTTGGTGCTCACTGAGTTTGCCCCTTGAGTGTGTCACTCGTGGAGGTAGTGGGGTTGTAATCAACATGGTCAAAACTGACCACCAGGTGCACTGGCTCTGGAGCTTCCTGGGAGGTATAAAGTCAGCCACTGCCTGTGCCCTGCCTTGGGCCACCCAGTATGAGCTACAGAGCAATCTGCAGATGGCTGCTACTTATGTTGGGTTTGGAGGTGCCCAGGAGAAGCCAAGCTATGAACTAAGGTGGGCTGCTGCTAGTGCTGGGCCTGGGGCCACTTATTGAGATGTATGGGGCATGCTGATGCCCGCTGCTGTTTGTTTGAGAGATTTTAGGAAAGTCTAAAGCATGAGGCAAGAGAGGCCAGTTGTATGGAAAAGCCACTGGAAATGGCGTGGATAAGCCTGCTAGTAGGGAGGGGCAGGGTCTCAGGGAATCATCAGGACACAGCAAAAAGTGTGAGCCAGGTTGATGGAGATTCAGCTATCGTGCCAGTCTGTGGGCTCTGTGGCAGAGAGGACTCTGCAAAGGAAGAGTGGCCTCTGCCAGCACTTCTGTCTGGGAGAAAGCTGCCCCTCCAGCTCTTGCCCTGATTCTAGACAAGTTAGTTCCTCCCCAAATGTCTCAGGTTTCTTTCAAGCTGCTGCCCCAGCACTGGAGCTCAGAGGGAGTGAGTCCAAGTATGTCCTTGCATGGGTCCTTTAAGAGGCATTGCTTGGGCGCTAGTTGGTTTGGCTCAGTGGATTGAGCATCAGCCCATAGACTGAAGGGTCCTGGGTTCGATTACAGTTAAGGGCATATACCTCAGTTGGGTAAGGACTAACAACAACAACCACAAAAAAGAGGAACTGCTTGGGACTCCAGCAGCCTTCATGTCACTCAGCCACAATCCTCGCTGGTTTTTATAACCAGAAGTTGTGGGGAACTTCTCTTCCTGGCACTGGAACCCTGGGCTGGGGGGCGTGGTGTGGGGCTGGGGCCCCTTGCTCCTCAGGGAAATCTCCAGAGCCAACATATCCCTCCTGATTTTAAACGGCCACATGTGAGTGTGGGACCAGACAGTTCCCTGAGTTCGCCCCGAGTTTCTGCCCCTCCTACCAGTCTTGATGTGCCGCTTCTTTAATCCCCGAGTTGTAGGACTTCGTTCAGCTAGATTTCAGGTGGTTCTCCATGATGGCTGTTCTGCATTTTAGTTGTAATTCTGATGTTTGTTTATTATTTATTTATGTATTTATTTTTGGTAAGGATTATTTTTAACACAGTTTGTGCAGATGCCCCTGGGGCTTGACTCCCCATGTCCAGTGACAAGAATGCTTTTTCCCTCCGGGTGCAGGGAAGGTGTTTTTCCCTTGGGAGGTTTATGTCCTACTTTCAGGAAGAATAGGGGGCCGGGCAGAGAGCCCTTCTGGCACCTGCTCTCTTTCAAGTGCCTTTAACTCAAAATAGTTAATCTGCCAAACCAGCACATACCGGGTGGGGTGGGGTGTTGGGGACCCCCCAGTACCCAGACCAGCATTGCTGCTTGGCTCAGGCACACGATGCCCTGTGTCCTGGCGCGTGGAGAAAACGGTCTTTCCCAGCATCCTGCAGGGCGGCCTTGGCCCCTCCAGGGAGCTTCCGAGTGTCCTGGTGACATGACAGCAGCTTTCCCCGGAGTAAGTGGGAGGGGGCGGGCCGGCAGCCACAGGTCTTTTATAAAAAGTAGAACAACCCATTGTATTACATGTATTGTGGCAACTGACATGACTGATCTGATCCATAGCATCTCAATGACTCTTCCCACCATATAGTTTTTTCTTTTATTAAGACAAATTCGCATACCATAAAATTCACCCTTTTAAAGTACACAATTCAGTGGGGTTTTTTAAGTATTTGCACCAAGTTGTACAATCACCACCACTCTCTAATTCCAGACACCTGGCATGGTT